AGGTCAAATGTCCGAATTTGATGAAGTCGAAATAGGGAGTTGCTAAGATTAAGTTCTATAAAGGTGGAGGGTAAGTCGCCATTTGATTACCAGCTACCTAGAAAGAGTTTCGAGCAATGAAATCGAAAAATAATCTCTACTACCCTATTTTCAGGTGTATAAGCCGCACTCTTTTCGCTCTAAACGCGAGCAGACTCAGGCATGCCGCTGCGCATATGTCTCGCGAAGCGGTCGCTTTATCGCATACTGCACTCACTTAACGCGCTCCATGATGACAGTCGGTCTTCTGGCGTGTTCGCCTTTAGAGCAAAAAGGGTGCGGCTTATACACCTGAAAATAGGGTAGGTATACAGATAAGCTCCTTTTCCGATTACTACAATGTAAACTGATCACAGAACACCGAAGCAGGTTCGAGTTGCTAACTATACCCCCTCAAGCCACAAAATCTCCACATCTCGGTAGGGGAGTTTTCTCATAGTCTAAACTTTTTTTATTTTGTAGAAGAGAGCGTACTTGATATAACCTTGGCTGTTGCAAAAGGATCTGCTAAGGTATCTCCCCGCCGAAATATGGAGCGTCAATTAGACCCACCTCAAATCGATTCTTTGCTATAACTCCTGTGTAATTGAAGGAAAATAAACAAGGAACCCTGCGACGGTGGGTGAGACGCTCCAATTATGCGGTCTCAGCCTTCTCCTCCCTCCACATGCATTAAAGTGGACGGGGCTGAGAAGATAAGTGGAGCGTTTCACCCAACATCGCAGGGCAAAAACATGGAACCCCATATACTTTAAATCATTCGAAAGCTTTTGAAAAGTAGATTACAAATCCAGCTCTTTGTACCGTTTCATATGCACAGCGCCTTTAGCCAACATCACTTGTGTGCTGAGAAATTGGAACTAGCCGCCATGTGGTTCTCGCATATGCACGCTAGTTCTTTAGGTGCAAACGAAAAGTTTTGAGGTAACTTCTATGCAGTTATACAGTGCTGGCCGAAACTACACGTCCACCCTGAAAACTGCCGTAACTCATCTGCTTCTCAACGAATTGATCTGAAATTTGGTACAGCTGTGTGTTTAACAAGCTACCATCAACATTTAGAACGAATCCCGTTTTTGTTTGTTTATTCAGGAAAAAATCAGAAATTTCGAAAAAAGCAGGCTTGAAGGTTGGCCAAAACTATACTTCCACTTAAGGTTTCTGTCCACTAAAGTAATTCTCGGCTTCCAAAGTATTTTGTGCGTATACATAATCAAAAGTCGAAACAGTCGCTTTAGTCCAGCTGTGTTATACCTTTATAAGAAACTCTATTCTGCTTTTTTTTCGCTTAAAACTACTTTCAGCCGTATTTTCTTCCCGAGAATGTGTTTTTATGGGTAATTTCGCAGTTTCTTGACTGGATTGGAAGCGATAGGGCTCCATCTATCTTATAGATGCTTAGGGAAGTGAGGACTAGAAAAATATTTGATTTTTCATATTTAAAGTGCACCCGACATAGACCTAACAGCAAGTCTGCGCTCAAATTTTTGCCTTCAAAGTTGGTTTATGTTATTTTTGTAAGCTCTACATGATGTAGAAGGATTATTTACATAAAAAGAAGTTTGTACACTATACTCACGACTGTTCGCCAAGTCGCATTTTCCTTCGTTTTTAAAGCATAAATCTTTGCGGTTCAATGATAATAATTAGGCAATCCCAAAGTACTTACCAAGTGATATATTTCCCTATTTTTGCCACTATTTAGTTGCTAAATAGAGAAAACACTCTGTATTGTATGTTACCTTGTGACTCACGTGAACATTACTGTCAGAATCAAAAATAAGTTCAAGGCTTTTTGCAAATCAGTTTTTGCAGGTTGATTTCCTCAATTAGCCTGCATGCTAGGACCTGCGGAATTCTGCAACCACTGCGTTCGAACTCTCACACGTACAACAATGTTAGTACTCTACCTCACGCTCATGAGGACATTGAGGAGGAGTTTGAAGGCAAAAATTTGAGCGCTGGCCTGCGCTTAGGTCTATGTTGGGTGCCCTTTAAATATGAAAACTCAAATTCTTTTCTAGTTTTCACTTCGCTAAGCATCCATAAGATAGATGGAGCCCTATCGCTTCCATGCCAGTTAAGAAACTGCAAAATTACCCATAAAAACACATTCTCGGGAACAAAATACCTGTGAAAGTATTTTTAAGCGAAAAAAAAGAGAATAGCGTCTCTTATAAAGGTATGACACAACTGGACTAAAACGAATGTTTTGACTTTTGACTATGTATATGCACAAAAGATTTTGGAAGCGGAGAATTACCTTAGTGGACAGAACTTAAGTGGAAGTGTAGTTTTGGCCAACCTTCAAGCCGTTTTTTTTCGAAATTTCTGATTTTTTCCTGAATAATCAAACAAAAACGGGATCCGTTCTGGTTACTAATGTTAGCCTGTTAAACACAAAACTGTACCAAATTTCAGATCAATTCGTTGAGAAGCAGATGAGTTACGGCAGTTTTCAGGGTGGACGTATAGTTTTGGCCAGCACTGTACTATTAGTGGCCTGATTGTTTTACAGAACACAGGGCATCGCGGCAGCTGTTCAGAAGTTTTGGCCGCAATTGGGTAATCAGTACGTTTTTGATGTAGTCAATACATGCTAATTACGTTTTCTCGAGAAGGTGAAAACTCTGTATAGCTGTTTTAAAATCAAACAAAGATGAATCGAGCAAAAAAACATTTGGTTTTACAACGCTCTTCTCGAAGAGCGATACCTCAGATATAGCCATTGCATGGATTATTGGAGGGAAAATGATGCAAAAACCTTCATTTGTGTAAGTCCTGGTAAGTCTCTGTGATATACCTGTATGTCTGAACAAAGTTCGCATGTTTTATCAATAAGTGACGAAAAGACTCCCACATAATGTTTTGGTGCATCCGCGCGTATGCACGGGCCAAATGCGCGAAGGACGTTAGTGGGAGTTTCGCCCAAATAGGCGTGGTCGTCAACGTGTTAAGCAAGCCGATTGTTAATATTTCTTTCAGTCTTCACCCTCCAACTTCCAATCGCTAAATTTGCTGATCGCGAAGCTTTGAGAGTTAAACATCTTTTTTCCGAAAGCCAAAGTCAGCAAACCGCTCAGCTGACCGGCCTCAATTTCATATGCTTGATTATCGGGGTTGAGCAAAGTGTGGCATGCAACTGCCGGATACGACCCCACCCAAGTTTCATCCCCCCCCCCCCCCAGCATGAACGTTTGCCTGCCGTGGGCATAACACTGAGGTTATAACAAGCATAATTAGTAAGGAAATCGTGATTAGCATATCGGATAAAACTATAGAGCCAAGTTTAGCGAATTCTGAAGTTTCTCAATAATGAGCCACTCAAGTTAAATGGTCGCTTTCAAGCATGGTTAACTTTATTTTAAAGGTGAATTAGCTACTACTTTTTGTACTATGTACAAAGCACTACTCATTCTTTGCCCATATAAGAAATCTCGCTTCAACTGATTTTCAGCTGTGGAATTAGGAGCTAGCATCTCACCTCACCTATCCTATTTTTCGCTATCAATTATTCTGCTTTCAGCAACTATCGCAGATTAAAAAAATGAACAGACTCAAATTAGTAACTTGTTACGATACGAAATATTTTCCGATCGATGTTGAGCATCATTATCAAAAAGAAACAACATTTATTGTATAGTAGCATTTTAAAGTGTGATGCAAAAGAATTGGCATGTAAACGTCTTCTACTAAATGTAACATGGAAAAGGATTGAGGTTAGTAAGCACTAGCTGGCTTACCCGGCTCCTAGCCTATGACACCCGCCGGGGCCCGAAGTGTATGTGTGCCAAGTTTGGTCCCGATCGGTTAAGAAATGGAATTTTCTATTCGGAACATACGTACACACAGACATACATACATACAAACAGACATTCAACTTTATATATAAGATTTTAAAAGCTGCTGTTGCGGTTTATCTCGCATAACTTATGAATGCAAGGAATTAATGGTGGTCGCTGCGCTCATTCTGTGGTCCATGGATTTCTATCGAAGGAAGCAGCCGAACTTCGCTCATTTCTATAAGCGTAAGGGTGAAGCCTCCTTTTGACAGTTTTTTGAAGAAATGTTTGGCTATTCAGCACACAGAAAATCAAAAAAAGTCCATAGAGGACTTTGCGGCTATGAAAAAAATTCTGAAAAAAGGTGAGTATCTTGGTTTTTTTCCTTTTTGCAAACCTATCGTTCGAGCCTTTTCTGTCTTTATCTTTACTATATTGGCTGCGGCAATGAGATGGGTTACTTAACGTTTATACTAACAAATTTCAAAGCGAGTTATGATTCGTTCAAAAACGAGGTCTCTGTGAAAGCTTTCTTTGTTTTTCAAACCATTTCTCTGCCGTTTTGTGAAAGTGCAGGTAATATTGTACCGTATTACGAAAGGCTTGTTTCTTCTAATGGTCTTCATAGCGTTTAGGAATGTTGATTTTTTTCTTGGAAGTTATAGTACGTCGAAGTGAGAGCTCGCAAAACGCTCATTACTTTTGCACCAAACCTAATATAGCAGAAATGTTGCAAGTTAAGTCTTCTTTCTGAGTCCCTGTGTTGTTGTCGGCCTCGCTTTTTTTCAAAGAAGATAGATAGCACAGGCTTCAAATCATATACTAACAAACATTTAGAGAATTCTTGCATTTATTCTAACATTTTCTATGGGATTTATCCGACCGCGTTGTGACATTCACTAGGTCGATTTTTCTTATCATCCATCAGTTCCCATCATGAAAATGTCAAGGACAACTTGCTATGAAATACTCTGTCGTTGAAAACCTGCATTTTCTTCGCGATTTAGGTCAGAAATCTATGTGAAAGAAACAGCATTTACCTCGCTCTCCCAACAACAATATTATGCAAGCATAGAATAAAAATCAAAAGAAACAACCGATCATTCCGGGGCTTTCCCCAGATCTCTATGACAAACAATGTGGCATGTATTGCAACCGTAACCATAATCACTGCACTTATTACAACTCTTCATGTCTGTACTCAGGGACCTTCAATTCTGGGTAGATATTCTTCAAGTACCATTCCATGTCCTTGCAGTTCAATCGTTTCTGCAATTCTAATCCAGCGCTTATGTCTCCAACATCAGTTGTTGCTGAGATTCCTCTAGCACGGAAGAAATGCTTCTGAAATTGATAACTTGGAGACCTTGATAAAATTTTAAGGCACGATAGCCTGGATTATATCACGAAATACCCACAGCATAGTCACCCAGCCAAGTTTTAGCCACACGCGCTGCGTTGTGCACTGTAGTATCCATGAAAGGCTTGCCCTTGTAAGGTCTTCGGTATCTGAATACGTGACCGACGCGACTGCAAGGTGCCACGACAATTCTTCCGCCACACATCCATGTCTGAAAAATTTTCTTTATAAAATAGAGCATTAATTTTAAAAAAAATTCGTGGTCGTAAGTCCCTCGGAACGAAAAATATCATGGTTCTCTCCTAAGATTCTTGAAACGTTGACGACAGCGGGCATTTTCAGCTGTATGCCTTGTGGGGCACTGCCTTCTACAGTAAGTTGAGTATTTTTAGCTGAAATCAATCAGGCCGTCATCTGCAGTATTCCTACAGTGATTTTGAGAAGCAGCTAAGAAACGCGGAAGTAATTTCTAGGAATAAAGCGTAAAAGAACTTCAAAAACCATAGTCATTGCATGACCCACCATGTGGGTCACATTGTCGTCAATGTGTTAATGACTGAATTTCCTACAATGCCGTCTGTAAATCTAAGCAGTCCTTAGGCAAAGCATCTGATTATATGAATCTTATGTGGACCGGGAAAAACAGCCCTAAACGCCAGTCCAGACAGTAATTTCCAGAGGGGACCAATTGACCGTTGCGTTCAAGTGCGGTAGAAAGTACGGTTTAAGGTGGGGTTTAGAGTTCAGTATATCGGCCATAAATTGGTTAGCAGCTTCTCATATAAGTTTAAAGGGAATATTCAGATGCCTGGCACTGCTTTTAAAAAAGCCATTTTTCTCTCGTTCTGTGCATAAAAACGGGAATTATACATTTGGCACTTCGACTAATTTTTTGCTGACTCGTAACGAATTCGCTCCATAAATCCCTGTAAAACTTGATTCGCGCTCACCTTCAGTGACAGTTCAATGTTCTCGCCACCCCAGATCTCCAAGCCCATATCAAATTCTCCGAGTGTCTTGAAATAATCACGACGAATCGCCAAAAGTCCTCCTGGCATTGCCGGTGATCTCAAATCAATTTTTAAATCAACTATTTTGAGAAACAATCCCTGAACAACTTACTCGATAGGTTTCACATTGTTTTCTGGGGTATCGAAGTATTCCCATGGAATGTATGTCCATTTGAAAACCAGTGACCAATCGAAACCGCTTTTTGAGATCATTGCTTTTGAGTATTCGAATGTGAATGGGTTGATTAAGTCGATGATGGGCAGTACAACACTGAAACACGAAAGCAATCAAATCAACTTTTATGTGAAGATTTATTTAGAATGGATCAAACTTTGCATTCCAAATATACCATTGAAGTTCTACTCTTTTGTTTTTGAAACTCCACACTTTCTGTTACCACGGATTTACACGGATTTTGTCGAAAAGAGGATCTAATGCATTCTTCATTGTCTTGACGGTTCTTTGACGATTTTTCCATAAATTAGTGAACCAGCAATCTAAAGGTGCCATTTGGAAAAGCGTTCGCTCCGGGACCCACCGAGGTTTCCCGCTATTGGAAGATTTTTGAATTGAGCCAACGATTTTTTTATATATTGGATGGAAATATATAACTTTTCCTACTTCAACTCAAGATAAGCCAAAAATTTAGAATGCTTTAAAAAAGTGTGGAAGACTATCAGTAATCTAGGTTTTGCAATTATGTTTTGTAACTGGGTAAAGCTGTTCTGGCAGAGCATGTCTACAAAATGACTTTCTAGTTCACAATAAAGAAACGGTGAGATTTATTACTTTGTTTTTTTCTTCAAAGATCAAAACTCCAGATAAAGAAGTCCGATCAGCACACTTTTCAATATTTTTGTAGCTTTTCAGATTATTGGCAACCTATATCAAAATGATCAAACTGGAATGAACCGGTCTTCTTTTCTATTCTATCTTTGAAGTCTAATTGGCTTTTTTAGACAGCTGCGAAATATACAATTTCTTATTGCTAAAATCAGTTTTAGGAGAATCTTTTCAAATAACAGACAATAATATTAGGCTGGAAACTAAGTTTTGCAACTGGTTTCATAACTTCACTCTCTTTGGATATGGCGCACTCAAATTTTGGCATTATGTAGAAGGCAATGTGAGCTACAAGTGAGCACAAATTGTCTAAATTTTGAACACGAAATAGAGAAGTTTCAGGTGTTTTTCGAAAACTAGTGAAGATTGAGAATTTTTGGGGTTTCAAGCTAAAATGGAGCCTTTGGCAGCCTAGACCATGCGCAGTAATACGGATTCGTTACAAATTGCTCGAGGTTGACTACTTTGGCATAGTAAAAAAGAAACAAAATTCAGGGGCATGTCGAGATTTGGCGTCCTCACAAAGTCGAACGAGTCGATGTACGCAAGAGCTGCTGGGGACGACCGTCAGTGACTAAAGAGTCCGAAGCTCAAATTCCGCCGAGACTTTACAAAGTAAGGTTATTTGACCTGCCAAACGCGAATATCACACTCATTTGTTGAATCAACGCCTTTTCCTTGTTTAGGGTGAGACCCCATATCGTACACCTACAGTAATCCTACAAAAAAACCCTTGTCACGCAATTTCACTATCGTTTTCGCGATCATGTCGGGCAACACCCCTACGCCAAGTTTCAGCCAAATCCGTCGAACTTTGAATTTTTCCCCTTCATACCATGCACCTACCGTAACCCTCACTGCGACGTCAGAATTAGGTAGGACAGCAGCTGCCCTTGTAGCTTACCTAATAACCAACGCAGTGGCAAAATTTAAGTGCGCCATGTTAAGTGAGAGAGAAATTATGAGACCAGTTGCAAAACTTAGGGCCGCATGCACTAACATGGCCGCGGGGAGGGGATCGCAGCTTAAAACAAAGCTTCATATTTCGAAACTCCAGATACTTGGACTTCACGATGTGTCCCTACCTATCCGTAAGTATTCCTACTATCCTTCACTATGAATATGTTGAACAGGAGCGAGAAGCTGTACAAAGCGCATTTTCCAGCTTTTGTATGATCCCTGATGATTCCCGGCGCTTTTCTTTAAAATCACTTTTCTTTCTCCGAAGTTAACGAAAAACTTCAAAGTTGTGCAGATTATCTAATTCGACAGTGCTAAGCATGTTGCTGATAAGAACAAATGATGTTTTGAAGTCATGAAATTTTCAATGATCCACAGGTCGAAATTTGGGGTATACCGAAAAATTCGATTTTTTGAAAATTCATTTGTTCTCATCAGCAACATGCTTAGCACTGTTGTGTTAGATGTTCAGTATAACTTTGGAAGGTTTTCGTTTACTTCGGAGAAAGAAAAATGACTTTGAAGAATAGATGTTCGTCTCCCAGGGATCATCAGGGGATCCTACAAAAAGCTGGGAAATGCGGCTTGTACATCTTCTCGCTTCTGCTCAATATGTTTATAGTGAAGGATGGTGGGAGTACTCACGGACTGGTAGACTGAAATCCAGATATCCGGAGCTTCAGGATATGAAGTTTTATTCTGAAGCTGCGATCCCCTCCCCAGCGGAAATGTTAGTGCATGCGGCCCTTAGTTTCCAACCTAATATTTATGCATTTTCGTACTTGAAGCTCAGAACATTCTATACAACCTGATATCCTCGAATTATGATTCTATAGCTCTTCAAATTGCAATTGACTGCTTGTGAGAGGGAAATGCTTAACTTTTAGAATTCAGACAGCTTTCTACAGGCCTTGTTCAAGTTTTGAAGTTGCTTTTAAGCAGTTATAAGCTGTCTCACCTGCTAGGATTTTCCTTGATGGGTGCCAGTAATGGCTCCAGCCATCGCTCAGGAACCTCACAATGACTATCTAGGAAGACAAGCACTTCTCCGGTAGCCTCTCGGGAAGCCAAAGTCTAAAGAATTTGTTATCGCTCTTCAAACTTTGGCTTACGCTACGGCTGGCTTACCTTCGCTCGAATAAGTCCTTGACGCTCATCGATTCTCTTCACCTTCATCTTTTCGGTGTATCCTTTGATCTGGGCAAATTTGTTCAAATGTTCGGTAAGGCGATGTTCTTCTTCACTGGCATCCTCATAGAGAATCACTTCATGCAATAGCTTTTCGGGTGTGCGTTCAAATATACCTAAAGAGGTACCAGCATTTTTTTGGCTGACCATTAGCACATTGACGACCGAGCGCATTTTCTACTGTCTGCCTTTTACGACCAGGGTAATTACGGACTGATTCTTTGAAAACTCCAAAAAATTTTTCACCTACAGTGCCCTACCTTGTCTCTAGAAAAGGTTCTAGAGAATGTAAAATGATATTCTCTAAGTTACAGTCTGAAAAACCCTATAGTAATCTTCCCATGTAATCTTCTATCTCAAAGTGAAGCCCATGATCCATCATGTAAGGCTCATATTTCGCGCGATATTCATTGCATGATGCACCATGTGTCTCACGCAAGCATCAATGTAATGATAATCTAAACTTACTTGTTAGCATTCGCAGGAGTACAGATAAACATTCATTGTGGTGAATGATAATAATTGAAGTTGGATATTCTGCGTCGAAGTTTTGTTCTTTGCATCTAAATAGACATCAGTTATACGCTGCAATGGCTACTGTAGGAATTGCATACAGTTTGTGGGCTTGATCACCAAGAGGACGGTCGATTCCAAGGCGATCACTTGCCAAAGAATCAAACGCAAAGCTTTTCAGGCCAAATGTTTGATAGGTTTTCAGCTGAAAAAATAGTACGTGTTTGAGAAAAATTAACGATATTTTGCAGAGTCTTCATTCTGGACATTTTGCACCATACCTCTTAAAACATACCTACTGCTGAATCTCTTGCCCTGATGTTCTTTATTAACTTTCAATTGGATAACTCTGTAGAGCCGGCTTCAACTTGATTTTACATTTTCGAGAGAGTCTCTGATCGATCTACGTTACTGTAGGACTACGGTAGGACCATGACGGGGTCTTGCAAAAAAATCTTGCCCTAGGACTATGAATGAGGGGAAATTTTATCACTAGGTAATTAAGGATTGCTGATCTCAAAAAATAGCATTCCATAATACCTTGGGCCTTTGGGACGTTACCCAGCTACAAATAAAAACAATATTTTAATGTTTTTGAGATCAGCAATTCTTACTTACCTAATGGCGAAATTTTTATAAACGGACTGGATCGTCTAAATTGATTTACAAACTTACATAAACTTGTATTCTAAAACCAGCGCTTTTGAGAAACTTTTGAGATTTGGGATGCTTTGGAAGGTTTCTGAATGTACATATATTTTGAAAGGACGCGATTCCACTGCAAATTCCTGCCACGATCTTGCAGTAACAAAGAGCGATTATTACTTCGCAGCATACTGTAAATCTAAGATTGAAGTCGCTTTACAAAATGATACCAAAAAGACGGCAAAAAACCCTAGGACTAGAAAGATGTTCAAGATCAACCAGTAGAGGTTTTTGGAACTCCTTATACATCAACTAATATGTACAAACGACCTATTCATAGTTCTTTGTGAAATTTTCTTGCAACGAGGGAACCCACTTCTTCCGTCAATTCCTCTTCCGTAGTTGTGTAATTGCAGTTCGTTGGCCTGTATTCCATCCACTTCTCCAAACTGGAAGCGAACATCTCAGAGTGGATTGCATTTAGGAACACGTAAATACTAACTTTTTGTAAGGATTTACGTGCGGACATGGAGGAAGTTTAGGTTCTTCCTTTTTGTCCTTTTCACTTGAAGTTTCTTCACTGTAAGCAGTTGCGGTGACGAAAAGCAGTAGAATGACCGCCCGCATTTTCAGCCTGAAATCGAAAAGTAAAAAAAAATTAAATGATCTGTGACTGAGAATGAAAAAAAGTATCTCATGAAAAGAAAAGAGCGTTCAATGGCTAAAACATACTCAAGGTCTTTAGCCGACAGAAACACTGAAAATCGAAAAGAAATCAGCGCATATATAAACCACTCCAAGTATCGAATTTGTAGCGACTATCCAGTTTTTCCTTTTGCGGAGGTTAATGTGAGAAGATTCTGCACGTAAGAGACCTTCAAAGCCTCCAGATAAGGTGAAAATACTTATTGCGTCATGGGCATCGGTGACATGAATGGAAAAGAATTTTTCGTCATATATTATTTTCTGCACAACTTAACAGTCTGGCACGAAGTTGTTAATTTTCAATATTGCTCCCTGTCAATGGTCGGAGAGTTTTTTGATTACTTGGTCTGCTATGTCCATACTTTTGTTTCTAGCCTATAATAAATCATCAAACTCTTACTTCTGAACAGCTTCAGTCCATATGATTTAGAGTTAGCTGCCGAATTTGACTGAGATCTTTTACTTCGAGGAAAAGTACCTTGAATTATAGTAATATGCAACCAGTTGACTCCTATTAGGTCGGAAAAGGTTCTATCACACTTAAGGAGAAAAATTTCATAACCTTTTATCTTCCACCACCATGTTTCAATGACATTGGAATTTATAACTTTACGATGATGTACACGACTCAATTGAAGATCCAAACTTTTTTCAAAATTTTCCGAATTATTCTCAGCGAACCTCTACGATGCATCATTATAGAACTTGAGCACTGATTTCTCCGTAATATCATGAAGATTCAAAAGAAGAAATAAGAGGATTTTAATACTATAAAGAAAAAACTGGAGAATGAAGTACCGTTACAAAATTGTTCCTATATTGCTATAGCTCAAATCGGTTAAACGACCCTTGCTTTCTCGTATATTCCAATATGAAACACCGCCGAAATTTCCAAAGGTTCTATAGGGGACGAAGAAAGACTGTGTAGCTTGTATTCCGATCAATAAAAAGAGTTTATGCAATTTTTGACTATGTTTTTGAGAAGCGAGAGTAGTCCTGCCAATAAAATAGGAAAACGGCCGACCACAGGTTTATGCAGTTTAGGAGAAAAAAAGATCTGTAAGTAAAGATTACATTTGTCATCCGTCACTGTTTATATTTCCATACGAAAACTTTGATTTTTCGGGTAGATTCAAGAGAATGAAAGTAATTGCTTAAAAGTTTTGTTTTGTAACTTTCATAATTGCCAAGGTAAAATTTGGAACTTTTAGTGCTTATAAAAGTTGGAGAATTTTCTATTCACTGCACAAAACTGAATTGCAACAGGAGCAAATAAAGCTGATTTTATAGAAGAATGATTAATGTAAATTGAATTAGGATCCAATCTCAGATATGTGAGAAACTGCCAGATGGCCACACCTAATGAAAAGTATATTCTAATGTGAGTTGCATCATGATCTGACAAATTTATTGAGCAGCGTAAAACTATGACCTTGTGAGACCGAACCAGTTCCCGTAGGAAGTATGACACTTTTTACGTACACATAAAATTGCATCATCGAAAATACAGTAAATAAAGCAGTTTATGATTTATAGAGTGTACTGGACCACTTTTCAAAGGTTTTTTTGCCCAAAGTGGAGAAGCTGTAAGATGGAGAATTAGACGATAAAAGTTCCAAAGCACTGGTGTAAAAGAGTACAAGTCAAGAAATCTTGAGAGAAGGCGCATGTGAAGAGTTGCAAATGGCCCGATCAGCGACAGACCTTGAACTCATTGCTGGATGCGTAGGATCAATGGGGAAGTTCGCGCAAATTCGTGACAGAATTGGAGCGCGAGTCGGAAAAAGTCTTCCATGTTTCTGGGAGACATTAAAAGGATCTTCTTTGCATTTAGGTTTTATCACGCTTGCTTTGAGATTTAAGTAGCTCAAATATTATTTTTTGCGGCAAAAAATTTTACGATACCAACAAGAGGTAATGATGAAAGGATGAAAGGACATATCAAAGACACACATGCGTACAGTCAGCAGAAAATCACTGGATTTTCAAATTTTATGTGAGCTTTGATTCAAGGCTTAGCTGCTGGAAGGCGGAGCTTTGTGACCTAATTAAGGCCGCTCGCGTCCGCGACGCAGTCTGAGTTTTTGTCGTGAGAATGCTCTCTGATCGTTATCTAGCCTTAATCAAATTACGAAGCCTCGCCTTCCAGCCGCCTAGCCACTTGATTTGAAAGGTAAAATTGACCATTGGATAAAGGCTAAAATAAGTTTGCTTTTCACACAAATCTTTACAAAAATTTTGTAAGTGTTTTTTATCCATGATTTTTTGAAGAGAAGCAGCTCAAAACTCCTTCTGTCACAAACCAACTACTCGCCAACTACTGCTACTAAAGTACAATAATGCCCCTATATGGCCAGATCTCTGAGAACCTCAATTCTTTGACTTTTCAAGCTTTCTTTTCATGCTGTAAGCGATGTACATGGATGTAGAGATGAGTAATATGGTATTGGACTACATCCAAGTTTTCTTTACCTAGCGAATAACTAAAGAGTTGTAATCTGCCATTTTAGAATTCTTTGAATGAAAAAAGGAAAATTTTTTTTCTACGTACTATGAGAAATTTGAGGTTTCCATTGCGGCAAATATGGGAGAATACGTTTTTATTCAAAGAATTTCAAATTCGCAAATCACCAGTCTTAGATACTCTTCTTAGGGAAACCCGAACAGTCCTTGTATTCTAATTTAACCGAGGTCCTCTTTCCAGCGCTATTAAGCACTGGACAAAAATTTTTCTTCGACGATTATGTGGGCCCAAAAGCCATCAAATTTGCTCACTAGCTAACAAATTGTAGTGGTAGTTTCAACTAGAAGCTTATGACAAATGCTTGATTTCCTATTTTTTAATGGTCTTCTTAGAATCAAATGTTGAAATTGAACTCGCAAGGACTGCTATAACTAAGATACCACGAACTGACGTACCCCGAACTTTCTCATGCGTGTTTGTGCAGTTTTTTAAAGTTCTTCAAACCTCTGAAGACATAATATAAATGAAAAAAAATGAAATGAATGAATAGCAACGATTGATTGATTTGAAATACAACATGGAAAAGTAGCGGAGGTTCAACAAACAGCAAAGCGTTTGACCCATACAAGGCAGCGTCGAATTGAACAAAATACCTTTGATATGTCTTTCAGCGTCACACGTCGGCGTTTCTATGTCCTTACGCGAAGGTCACCGATGGTGTTCTAGTGTGTGGAACGCTCTATTCCTCCATAGTATTCGGTGAACGGATGAAAAATTCTGGTGCTCTTTTGCGGCTCCCACAACTGCCACAAGCAAATTTTTGTCAGTCAGTATCTTTGAAAAGATCTCATTGTGAATTAGAGTGTAAATTTTGTACTTATACTCATGGAATCTATAAGGTTGGCTAAAAATTCGTTTTGGCATGAAAATCTGATAAAAACTTTCTTAGTTGTTTTTTATTTACGATTTTTGTGAGCAAGTGATTTGAAGCTTCTTTCATCACATATCAATTGTTCAATATTTGCAATTATCAATAAGGGACAGTCATGCTCTAAAATGGCTAAACTCCAAAAGCTTAATTTTACGACTTTCTAAACTTCGTTTTCATACTGTAACGAATTTGAAGAACAGCAATATGCCCGTATTTGGACACGGGCATATTCCCTACTTAGGAATAACGATAAAAATTATGATCTGCCATTTCAAAACCCCTTGGTCAAAAAAAAAACAAATTTATACTTGCGCACAATGAGAAAATTGAGATTTCTCACTCCTTTCATTTCTTCCATTAGGAAATAAGATGTATTCAAACAGATTTTACTTCGCAATCTTACTGAAGTGCTCTCCGAAGATACAGGTTACTGGGCAAAAATGGCCTGCAGCGGTTGTAGAAGCCGCAAAAGCGACCGAAATAATATATTAGCCAATCTATTACTTCCCTACGAAGGAAGGAGCAAGGAGGTATGATACTCCAATTCTGTCACTGTCAAATGTGAGAGAATTTTGTTTTTCCCATCAAAAAATACAAAACGATTTATTCGCTAAACAGAGAAAACTTGTATGTATTCAAACACAACTGTCTTCATCCCATAGGTGCGATAGGGGGAGCCAGGCTCTCCCCAGGTGAAGGGGGTCTCGGCTGTTCGCGACCTTCCATTGTGAAGGGGGTATGTGAGTCTAGGGGGGGGGGGGGAGGAGGAAGAGAGAAAAGGTAAGAGAGCGTGGTATGAAGAGCTCTAATTTGCACCTTATTTAGGCACAAATTGAAAAAAATTAAAAATTTTCAAAAGAAATTAAAAAATTTAAAAAAAATTGATTATGAAGATCTGTGCTCCTGCTTCACTGCATCAACAAGAAAACGAAAGCAATAATGTTTATCCCAAAAGATGTACAAGTTAGGAACAACTTCATTTCCTGCACATCATCATCAACAATATCACTATCGCTAACGCCAGAGACAACAAGTTCGCTGCCTAAAAAATCTTCTTCTTCCTCCAAAAGGTCATCGGAGTAGAAGTAGAATTGCGTGCAAAAGCGTTCTGAGTCGAAAATGGATTTGAAACTCTCTTCTTCTTTTAAGCGCTTTTGTGATTTTTTTCCTGGCCCTCTGGTAGCACCAGGAAGTCAGCAGCTAGGTGACCAGTTTCTTCGTACCTTCTTTTAGGATATTTCAAAAAGTCATACGGTAACAGCCTGTCTGGACCACTTATACCAGTCCTTTAAATGAAGTTTTTAGATAACAATGTGTTTAGTAGAAGGTTGACAAATCTTAAGTATTTGCTTAGATGCTCTATCGTTGTACGACTTCTGCGTTGTGTTCTGATAACAGAGTAGATAGAAAATTTTTTTCTTCACCTCTGCCGTGCTAGTCGGAATGGAAACTAGCTTTGCTAGTAGGTCCATCAGATTTTTGCGGTAAGTAATGGGAAAAGAGCCAGATCTCATATGCTTCCGCAAC